GGGCTGGGCGGGGGAACAAACCCTCTTGCCCTCCTGCCTGCGTGTGCCCTCTCGGTGCTGCCCTGGCCTTGCTCTGCCGGTGCCCCCCTGCTGGGGAGCCGGGGGAATCTCAGATTTCCACCAGCCCCGCTGGCTCCACGTGGAGGTGAGCGGGAGGAGCTGCCCTGCTCCTCGCCGCCTTTCCCCCCCCTGTCTGCAGCTTTCCGGGAAAATTTTGCCTGACCTTTGGCCGCTGATCTGGGATTTGGAGAGCTGGGCAGAGCTGCTGGAGTCCGAGTGAGCCGTTGGCTCCCTGGAGGTGGCCGAGCTCCCTCCCTGGGCACATGCCCACGGGGCTGGGGCTGGCAGGAAACTCTGAAACTCTCCACCAACCGTCTCCTCCAGCACCCTGAGGCTGCAAGCACCGGGGGGGGAGGGTCCCATAAAAACCTCTTGGTGGGTGTGGCCCGTGCTTTGGAAAAAACATACTTACAAGGTGGGTTGCAATAGCTCCAAAGGTTTATTTGTCTGCTGGGATTTATCAGGGAAGTGACACGTGTGGATTTTCTGCACCCTGCCTACACCTGCTGGTGTGAGGAAGGGTTAAAGTGAGTTATCTGCCTCCCCCCTTCCCTAAACCTACCCCGGGGGGGGAGATTTTAGGGTTTCTTGGCTGCTCTGTAGCAGGAAGATGCTTTGCCCTGTCCTGCTGATGAGTCCTGGCCCTGGTAGGGACATCCCACCGGGCTGGGGAGGGGGTTGTGCAGCTTTTCCCCCCATCCCCAAGGCTCAGAGCTGCTCGTGCAAAAAAACCACGCCGAGCCACGAGCTGCTCTTTAAATAGTTCAAGGGCTGAAATGTTTCAGTTTGAAGCCCGGGGAGAGCTGGTGCCCACCCAGCACTGCCCCAGGGCGCGGCTCTCCAGCCTGTGGCAGCACCCTGGTGGGCAGCTGGAGGTGGCACTGGCAAACTGGGCTGCTCTGGGGTGGCCGTAGAGCTCCTGCCTCTGCCCCAGGGAGGAGGTTGGGGGGAGATGACCCCCCGAGAGGGGCTGGCACACCTCAGCAGTGAGCAAAGCTGTCCTCGGAGGTGTCCCGGAGGTCCAGCCCCGCCACGGCCGGCGGGTGGGGGCCGGGGGGGGCGCG